AAATTCATGTGGAATTAATTTAGCGAATTTCACTTGTTAACGAAATTAAAAACCAGCAAATAATTATTAAATGTATGTACAATATCTTATTACCCATTCAGATTTATGTAAATGTTGTACACTAAGTCGCAAGCAGCCAATTGGTCGGCTTAAATTCTGCATGTGGTGATCATACATAACATAGAATATGATTGTCAATTAGTGATTGAACCAATCAAAGTCCAACCTTGCCAGCAATTGCAGATCAGCTGCTATTTTGTGTGTGTTTCTTTAACCTGACAGTGTACTGCCACCTAGTGCATATTAAATGCTTTTTTGCACTCACTGTAAACAAGCCAACAAGTCAGGAATATACATTTTATGAAACAAGGTTTTACACCATGGAGCCCAGTCTAATTTTAGTTGCTGGGCTTGTATTTAAAATGCCATTTATTTTCAAATGTTTTTTTTATTTTATTTTTATTTTATTTTTTTAGTTTTTTTTAACACAACAAAATGACAATTGTTATGTCACTTTACTGACAACTTAAAGAACATCGTGTTGTTGGAAAACAATTTGCTTTTCATGTGGTATAAATATTTTATTTTTAATTAAACAGAATGTCAGCATAATACTCAATAAAAGACCATTTTCTATCCAAGCATAGAAACACAGATTGTTTTGTTGTTAAATCATTTTACTCTTGAACAAATATTTTCCCGGAAGCTGTCTGGTATTTCACACCCTCTAGTGTCGGAATATGTAGTTTCCTTTGGCTAAACAAATTTGTTTCTTGTCCGAAGATCTTCCAAAAAATGGAGAGATTTTTTTTAACGGTTACAAAAATTAGAAAAAGTTTGTGTGAGGCCCAATTTGAACTAACTCTACCATCTAAATTTACAGAACTTTCAAATTCCTTCTGGAGTAAATGGATTCCCGATACAAATGCAGTTGACAAACTTAACAGTAATTTCATAAAAACATCATTTCATAGAAAAAGTATCAGGCAATTTAGAAAGATAACATCTTCAACCTTAAAATTACTGGCGCATGTACAATTGGATTAAATTGGCCTCTAAAGGAATTAACGATTTGTTTTATTCTTTCACTAATTTAATTTAAACCTTTTTATTAGCATACTTTTGCACTGACAAAACTTTCAATGCTTTAACATTACGCAGTGCTCAGTGGGGAAGGATTCTTTTTTACTAGTAATACTCCAGCGGAAGTACAATTCACAGTCCTGAAAAACACTCTCATATATTAGGTCTTATGATAATTTTAGTTCAGTCATACGTATCTGTTTTAAGGTGCAAAGTTCTCAGACTCCTTGACAACACAGGAATATCAGTATAAAATATTCTGCAAATGAGCAGATGGATGTATATATAATTGTAAAATCATTTTAGTTTTAATCATACATGTCCGATTTAGGCTGCAAACAATTTTCTTGGACTTTCTGTGTTCTAATGACATAAAAAGTTCTCGGCAGCGAACAGTAGTTTTCATCATTCTCAGACTTTCCCTTTTTCAACAGCGAGGGCAATATTTAGACTAATAAAACTGCATTTTTATACCCAAGTATTCCCACAGCAGGTTTGCGGAAATAATTTTAGTTGTGTTATACATATATAGACGGGGGCAAGTGGGTAGCTGGTACAGTTTTACGTTAAATAAAAATGGCTTTTTACAATTTACAAGGAAAAAAAAAAAACGTTTTTACAGTTTACAGTGAAAATTGAATTTTGCAGTGAATTGTGTCATCTAGTCTTTTTACAGTTTCGAAAATGTAATTTCCCTGGATTATTCTTTAATGAGAACAATGACATATTAACACAACAAATTGCTTTCTGATGTGTACTTTAGATGGGGAATGAAATAACAACTATTATTAGTAATATTACGAGATACTGTTTCATTACAACAAGCTTGAGTTCATAGTCCAGTCAATTTATGGTTTGACCCATCACAAATTGCAACAGAAATAATTTCTTCACAGCACATTCCGGGGAGGTGCCTAGATTGACATACTAAAAGTCTAGGAAAATCTAGGCTTCCGAAATATACCTAATTTGCATATATTCGAAATGGCCGTTTTGTGCATTTTTACAACATAGAAAATATAACTATTAGGACATATCTTTAATTCTAGATGACATTTTTTAGATATTCAAGTTGCTGCGATATGGTTTGGTGTGTGTGAATGTATGTGATTGTGAAACATTTGATTGAATAACAACATTTGCATAAATCAAATATGGCCGTCAAAATAATATCATTTAAATGTGCAACCTCGGACGGCCCCTCTGAGTTTGTTCCCCGTAATGACTCCATGAGCCATGCCGTGGGGTGAAGGGGAAACATCGATCCTAGTGACCCGATGTTCAACCCCCCCTTGATCCTGAAACAGTCACTCTCTCGGGATTCCGTGATCCAGAGTCCTGCATTTGGTATTGCTTTGGATCCCGCCGAGTGCTGGATGTAGGGGGGAACGCACAGACAGTGCTGATGGGCGGACCTTGTTCCCCTGCGGAATAGAGGCCTAAATCCTTAGGGTAGGTAAATTTTATGCTCAACCTTTTCTGCTGGACCAAGCGCTACCCGATCGATCAGATCCTTCATTTCCTCCCTGACCCCGGTACCACAATTTTTTTGGGTTTGA